CCCCTAATTTTGGTGGAATTTCAAATTTAAGGCATTAACAACACATACTTAATAGGCCTACTTTACGGATTCGTTTTTTAGCTTATTTTGAATTTTAAATATTTATTTATTTCAAATGGCAAGCTTTATGATATTTATCATTAGCCCTTAAACTTTGACTTCAGCTTCCCCCAAGGGTGGGGGGTACATATATAGCAGTTTATTAGCTGTCATCTTGCTTCCCAGTATCTCTGGCTTTCCGTCGTTGTCTTTAGGGCTGGTCACCGAATCAGGTGGGTCTTCTCCATTTCCTCCTGTAGGTTACATAGAGGGTTCCAGGAAATATTCATTCCCATTCAATAGCCATGGATGAATAACTGTCTGGATGAATTGCGCTGTGTCAAACATGATTGTCAGTCTCGTTGATAATTCAAAGTATCATAACTAATCAATTATTTGAACCAACTGGTCATATTCTATAACCTCAATTGTGAATCTGGAAGGCAAATAAAGGAGGTCAAATCTCAGAACGCCAATGTTTGAGCTCTTCAAAATTTGAAAATAGGCACAAATTGGTGATCCGGAATTGTAAATAATGAAACAGGGAACATTCCTTTTCGTTATCTTCATATAATCAACCCCTTACACCATTTCAAATTCTATTCGAATCATTTCAATTACTTGATATTCTTCACGAGTAAAACTTATAAGGCTTTTTCCCCGTGTTAATGACAGTGTCAATAATTTGGCTGAAGTGTCAAACCGTTCTCATTATTTATTCCACACTGTAAATATGATAGCATCGCTTAGTGGAGTTCTCCTTTATGGTATTTAGTATCTCTTATTAAATAATAAGGCATAGGTCAATGCAAATTTATTAATTAATAACCCAAATTCAAACAAAGGTGCCATGTATTCGACTTTGAATTTTCTTTTGTTGTTCGCCAATCACTACAAGTCATGATTAGATATGAATTAACTTGATTAAATAAGGATAACTTAATGCATTCTTCATAAAAAATTCTACCTATACTTTTGCCAGCTGCTCTGAATAAAATTAAAAATTTTATTATATCATTTGGGAAGAACATCGTTTGTTCTAAAGTTATACTATTTTTTTTGACTTGCAAAGCGTAAAGAAAACGTTCGTAAGTTAAGAAATCTTTTGGCAGAAAAGTCCTACCCTACAGGACTACTTTCTCACTCAGCTGAACACTAAAACAAAATAGAGATAGGAAAACGAGAAAAGGTACAAAATATGCTTTGACAAAAAGAGGTGCCAGATTTTTCGCTTTTAAATAAATTAGTAGGCGAGGCCTCAGAAAATAAACTCTAAAAATAGAAAAAATAAATCTATTGTTTAAACTTCCTCATCTTCTGCTATACGCGCTCACCTTAAAATCATTTCCGACCAACTCCCTCTGCGGGATGGGTGTGGTTAGTGGTCGATTTTTAATTTTTAATGACACTCATTTTCGATCAATACACAACAAAATTGCCACTAAAGTATCATTAAAGTTTTCATTTAATTTTTTTCAATATTGTAATAAATGTTAATGATAAATTTAGGTAAATGAATAATTCATCTGACTAATTTTCAATAGACAGCATATTTTCTTGAATTTAAATATTTAAAAAAAGCAGCTCATCAATTTTATCCTAGATAACAATTCATTTTTTTGAAACTAAAAGCTTGATTTTTCTTACTTTAATCGTAAATTCAGTTTTGTTAAATTGGCGTTTTATTGAAATTTTATTAAACTGGTCAATTCTATTGTTCTATTAAGCTTATTAGTATTTTTGTTGACTTTCAATAGCTTATAAATTAATTCAAAAACGAATAAATATTTTAATAGCTAATGTTATTTATTAAAGTAAATAATCGAACGTCTTACATCTGTAATTGCATCAACCTACTGATAAATCTTCCTTTATTACTGTGTAAACAACTATATGCTATTTAGAATAAATCACTTCTTATAATTTGTTTTCGAATGGCCTAAAGAATTGTTTGAGAACACCTTAATCATCATTATTATCTAAATTGCTTTAATAGATATAGGATCATTGAGAAAATTACTCCCGCAAGGCGTTTGACCAATCCAGAGGTTTTTTACTGACCAATTGCTTTCATTTACAGTAACGGAGTTGCAATTTCCTTATTCGTTTCCCCCTACCACAGTACTCCTTGCCCCATTCTTCCACTTTTCCTCCTTCCCCCCCCCCCAACCTCACCCTCACCCAAAGTAATGGTTATAGACCCACCGCCTTGCGGCCACAAAACTAATTTAACCGCCAGCGTTCTCAAATAAAGAAGGCATCCAACCGCTGTAGAAAAGCAAAAAATAGAAAAGAGCAGAAATAAGGAATTCAATTTAAAATCTATTGCTGAAATCTCGGCAGTATCTGAGATTACCTTACTTGCTTCCTCAGAATTAAGCATGCAGTAACTGATGGACTTTGCGTTAAGTAAATTTCAAATAATTTGATATTCGATAGCAATATTATGTTCAATTTAGTAGCATATAGTACATTATAGTAAATGGATCTATGTACCTTTGAAGGGATGAACTGTTTTTAATTTGTTATTGTTGATTAACTGGTGAATACGAAATAACACCTAAAATGCTCTATTAAACACCCAATTCATGAAAACGTTGACCCTGAATCAGAGAATAAATAGTTTGAAAATAAATATATATAAATAAACTTAAATGAATTATTTCAGTTAAATTTCTTTTAACTTGACATTCGCATCAACATATTCCTACACATTTATTTCTACTGTCATGGACGTTAATAATGATTGTGGCGTAATGCATCGTTCGATCTGCCTTCCTTATCGAATGTCCCACATATTTTCTTACGGATGTCTTATTATTAAAACCCTATCAAACAGCATTTTCAAAATGTCTCACTATTACCCATAATAAATGCATTCATTCATTTTCTTAAGGGCTTTCGTCTTGCCTTTTTTAAATTCTGTTAGTTTTTTCCTTATGCAGGTCTTAATTTAAATTCGAATAAATCCCTCACATGAATACGAAATAGCATCAGGAAAACCTCTTCATGCACAGCTAAAGTTATTTCCAACAACATTCCACTTACTCTCCCTCTGGCGGTTTTTTATACATTGCACAGGCGAACATCATATCTTGCCAAATCATGATCCCAATTTGACTTGCGAGATCATAGAACCTTCGATCTTCATATCGACCACCACCCCAAATGCGGAGCATTTGAATTCCGCCTCGAGCAGCTGAATAAAGCAATTCTGAATCTCGGACTGTACGCGAGTCTCCTTGATGGCTCTTCTGTGATGGAAAGGGGGTTGAAGGAATCCAGTTGCTACCTCGAACAAAGATTGGCACGCCATTAATTCGAAAGAAGAATGTTTTTCCGTGATTTTGACCGTTCACTTTAACGTCCTTCTATTTTAAAAAAAATCATGACCGTGCTTTTATTGATTTGTACTTTTTCAATTTATCATTATAAGCAAGGCAGAATCTAAGGCTCTATCATTTATTCAAAATGGGTTTCATAATAATTAAAATTCCTGATCAACTGTTTAACTTTCATTAAATTCATTGCATTTATCTTAGGAAAATAACGACTCAAGCATTATATTTTATACTTAAAATTCCAAAACTCTTGTCATTTTATTAGATCTTTTAAGAGTTAATTTCATGTTATGGTTTAGTAAGTTTGATGTGCAAAACCCAATAAGTAACGCAGTCATATATTATTTAGGGTTCCGAATTTACCGCATCAATTAAGATTAATTAGATTACAGAACCAATTAAAAAATCAACAAATTCATATACCTTGGCCTTTTTTCTACTTTTTTCTTCAAGACGTTAGAAAATGAAAATTTATTTAATTAATGCATACAATATTAAAATTCACCGTTTTAATGCATTCACTTAGGAAAGTATCGCCTATTTTTAATCTCAACTGTCAATGTTAAAAACATTTTTTTAAATAAACATGTTTATTAGTAATGAATTTTAATATATATTATAGAAAACCACTTGTGGTTTTATGAGAAAATGGTTTAACTCGATAACTTTTAAATTGTTTAAAGGTGACCATAGCGTCAGGCAATCTAAACTGATTAATTACCATGATGTATCCACTTGGATCAAAAATTTTTACCTAGTGAGCCACTCACCGATCAATATTCAAAATGAATTTTTAATTAATTTTTTCCGGATTGCTGAGAAGACTCAAATATATTATGCTCAGGTAGTTCTAGCATTTCAGTGAGAGTTTCATAGAAACTAAGATAGTGATTATTATTACTATATTTGATTTGAAATATTTGATCATTCATCATCTTACCACATATATAAAATAAGAATTTGTGAATAATATTTCACCTTCTTAAACATAATAAAATTGTGTCTTTTTCAGTACCTCTAAATTCGTAATCTAAATTCAACTTAAATTGACTTTTGTCTTAGTTTTGTCCTTTTTAACTAAAGCATGTCTATCATAAATGTCTCCTTTGTTTGCTGTTCGCCTTCTTCATAGAACGTTAAATTTTGGTGTTCGTGTTAAATCAGCGAAGATAAATAATCTCAATTCAAGTTATCGACGAATATATATCATATAACCATTGTTATTCAAGCCATGTTTTAGTAAAATAAAACTTTTGTTTGAACTGGCATTTTTAATTCAGAAAGTCATGAACAGAATGTGAACAATTAATTTACAACCTGTTCATAATTCATCGACATAATCTCAATGGATAGAATTCATTTTAACTTTTTTAAAATTAACATAATGAATCGTTTTATTATTTTATTTTTTACTTAACATATTTTACTGAGTATGAAAACGTCAATGCAATTGAAATGGGACATTTTATTATTTAATTTCATTGTCCACTAATAATAGCCAATTAGAGTCATAGAATTTTCTGATCTAATTATTAAATAATCCCCTGGACCTAGATAAAATTAAAAATTCGTTGATGATGAAACATTAAATTTTTATTTTTCCTGATCAAATTTAATTCTTTTTCAAAATGCATCTTATTAAATAATTCTTCAATTTTAATCAACTTTTACTCATTTTATTAAATAAATATATTTTATTTTGGTGAAATAATTCAATGCAAAAGAGTGAACTTGAAAAAGAATAGAGCGCAGAAAAGTTAACTGGAGCACATGAGGACGTGAAAAAGAAATTGAAGGGAAATAAAAGTCTCATTTTCAATTATTTCCAACTTTTGCAAAACGCCAAGTCCATTTGTTTATTGAATAAAATAAATAAATATGGGATATACGTTCCACTTTTGTAATTCATTTCAATGCAACCTAGAAATTGGACAGGTTACTGGTCAGGCCTTTGAGCTATTTCAATCAAAAATTTTATGTAAATGTTTTCATTACAAAAGCCTTCCGATTTAATCTATAGATTCAAATACATTAACTCTTTATCAGCTCGTAGAGAAAATAAAAGTGTTTTATTTCCGCAAATAAACTTATTTCTATAACTTCGAGTTTGCAAGTTCTTCATGAATTTTTTCGAACTAGCCAAAACAACCTCCCCCTCCGTTTTTTAAAGTAGACGAAATCCAAATTTAATTTATTTATTTATTAACAAGTGAATATTTGACTGATCAACACAAATAGGTTTTGGCATAGCTTATGCGAAATAATTGTGAACAAATCAGAAGTTTATTCCTTTATTAATGGCACAAAGTTGATGAAATTGTCAGGTAACTCCAGTGCTTTTAAAATGCAAAAATTGTCGTTTCTGCATTTTTGAAGGGGCATATGAATGAAACCTTTCTAATTGGTAGTTTTATTTGTTTGAAGCGACATATAAGTTTTTATGGTGCCATTAGGAAATAGAGCATTTTAAAACAGCCACTAAATTTGTTTATTTTGTAATTTGTCAAATTTTGCCATTGTTCTTGCAATTTTCTGATTCCCTCTCGAAAAGATCATTCAATTAAATTTTGACATCATTCGCATTTCGAGCTCATGTTTCCCTTAGTATTTATGTTTCATAAATCGGAAAGGTTGGCAATCAGTTGGAGCGAGTTCTGGTTAATGTGGAGAATATGATTAAACTTTCCCATTCATTTCAATCATTCTTGGGAGACCATACGTGCTTCATGAAGTTGGTGCCGGCAATATCATCCTGAAGGATTATCCATTTCGATTAAATAAACTTGGAAGTTTATCTTTTGATTTCTGGTTGAGTCTTCCCCACATTTGGCCCGACTTTAGTTATTCCTAATGAAGTATTTCAACTGCATTCCAGCAAACGCATGGAAGAAGTTTCCAATTGTCAACTCTGGCTTAAAGGTTGAAAGGAGTGTTTCAATTGTACAAAATATTGATTTTTGTGCATCATATCTCCAATAACAGCTTGATGTAAAGAGAACGCATTCTGTAAATATTTCTCTGCACACCTTATAACACTGAAAGAGTTGATGAGTTGTCGCCCGATTTCTCACTTATTTAATATACCACTGCGATTTTAATAGTCTAAGACAAAATTTTGATTAAAAGTGTGAACTGTTATCTTCAAGTTCATGGTCTTCATCAAATACCGAGCACTCAAATATTTTAATCCACGAAAATAATTACTAACCACGAAAGAAACTATATAGAATCAAGTTTCAAATATCACATTTTTGTTAAAAAGAATCTTTTGTGCAGAAATCGGACCAATGGAATATAAGAGACCAAAATGTTTGATTTTGAGCATCAAGCTATTTATAAGCCAATAGGAGACTCATTCGCAGTGGAATACTCAAGACAAAATATATCCCTACAATTTATAGTACCAGTTACTTTTTAATAAAAATTGACGCCTTTTGCAAAAAAAGCACGATTTAAATGGTACTACTTTGTCTTGTCTATTTTTTTGCATGAAAATTACCAACTCCTCTAATTTCGTGTTGATATATACTTGCATCCTATTGCAATAAACTAGGACAAGGGCAGTAAACTATTTTATTGGTGATTGAAATTACAAATTTATTTATAATGACGGTGCTTGTAGTGTTGGTTAATAGACGAACTGAGCTCTATTTCCCAGTAAATAAACATTAAATTTCTGTAAACTTTCACTTGAGAGAAATGCGCTATATATATAATAAATTCGTCGAAATTTGAAGAAGAGCGTTACTAGGAAACTAATTTTACTGAAAACGGGTGTGCGATAGACTTACCTCCATGTGGTGCACCTTGGGAAACGTATACCCATACGGCAAAAAAGTCTATTAACCGGCAGTTAACTTCTGACTTCAAACTACCATGATCCCACTGTAATGCATGTTTCACAGTACTCATCTTACCTTTCCTCTGCCTTTGTGTCTGTCTGTCCCTTTTACTTCCGTAATCACTCTTCTGTTCCCCCTCACCAATTTTTTTCCCACTTTGATATTCCTCCCCTCTTTGAAGCCCAAAGTCAGTTAAAGGGCTAATGATAACTAACAAAACGCCTACCATTTGATATAAATAAATTTGACTGAAAATTATTAAAATAATAATTCATTATCTCATTTAGGAAAGCGTTTCCTGACGATTGTCTCGAATATAGAATGACTTCAAAGAGCCTCCAAATGGGAAATTCGAAATCCCACCCCACCTCCGTATGAATTTATCTTAACTTGAACATTCCATTTGACCACTCTTTCTGTTATTTTTAATCGATGAAGTTATTACTCTCGTGAAAATATATTTTAAAGGCATTTTTCACCCAGAATTCAAGCATATATTTTTATCAATTTCCTCCAGCATCTAGAGCTTTGCTCTACCGCTCAACCAATTTCTGGTCTTATTATTACAATGCAGACAACTTTCGCCTATTTTGGTGTATTATAAATGAATCATAACCCTTTTGTGAATGAAATTGTTTAAATTTAGAAGGGACATCTTAGCGAATTTCTTCTGCCTTACGTTACTAGTTTGTAAATTATATGCTAGAGTTCACTTTTTCAATTATAGAGTCAAACGAGGAGGTCTTAAGTAAAATTCGTTTAGTGACAAGAAAGTGGTAGCTGAAAGATCCAAGTTTGCACCTCATAGCGACAGTGGCTCAGATTATTAAATACTCCCTTTATCAAAGTCTCACCGAAAGCTTATCCATAGTTAATTAACGCTTCACTCCCACATCGATTGCATTATTTTTCATTTTATTTATAAACTTGTCGTACATTTTTCCTATCCGGAGAACGGGTTTTTCCATTTAATATCTACTATTGCCTTGTCTTTTTCTCTACCTACGTGTCTGTCTGTCACTTTGACATCTGTGAATCACTCTTCTGCTCCCCCTCTCCACTTTTTGTGGCTTTGATGCTCCTCCTCTCTGTTAAACCCGAAGTCAAATAAGCGGCTAATGATAACTTTCAGAAGGCCTGCCATTTGATATAAATATCTAACATTTCAAGCGGTATTATTAAATTTTG